CAGTTAAAAAATCGACAATTTTTCGGTCCGAAATTAATAATCCTTTGATCCCTCTACGGTGTATAGTGTACATAGCCACAAAATGTAGTTTATAATACACTGAAAAACTACATCGATTTTGCAATTTGCTGAAATAAAATAACTGACCATACGTAAACGTGCTCACCCTCTCTAACCTCTTCCAATCTCTCAAAATCGACCGGATAGTTGCTCATCTTCCCTAAATTAATCTACGTCCCATAACTCAATCAACAGCCCCCGATAATTAACGTCACGCTGCTCAGATACCGAACGATTCGAGTTATCATTCCTCCATTTAAAGAGCTGCTTGTTATCTGGTCGCACGCCATTACCGGAGATCAGATGGTCGGAACAATTATCTCGTAAAACGGTTGGCAAGGGTTTGCCGTTCGTATTCACGAATAGGTCCGTGATTCGCGATCGTTGTTGATTCAGCGCGTTGAACGTCGCACGTGCGCCGATGTAGACGTACGCAAAGCTCCCGCAACCCGAACTTCAGCACGCGCCACGATTATGCGATTACGCGATTACGCGTGTCGGTTGCTGTGCCCCGGCTGGCCCGTCGAAGAAGAGGTCCACGGATGATACCGTGGACCAATGACGCCGAACATTCTTTCCGTATCCCCATACAACGTCCTGGCTGACGATAAAAGATGTCTCTAAAAGTTCCTCGAGCTTTATCTTGCCGTTTGAACTTGACAGATACTTGGTGCGAAACAGGTGAGATTTTTCTTTCGAACTCTGTTGGCAATAGAATTATTCTTCCGCAATGTGTATCGATAATTATTAAAATTGACATAATGTACGTGAGAAATATAAAAATGACATTTGTTAGAAGAGCAGAATACTATAATTACGTGAACTTGACATTGACAACACTGTTCTTTCAAACTCTGTTGACACTAGGATTATTCTTTTGCAATATGTATCGATAATTATTAAAATTGGCATAGTGAATATGAGAAATATAAAAATGCAGCTATCTATTAGAAGAGCAGAATACTGTAATTGCTTGACATTAACAACACTCTTCTTTCGAACATGGTTGACACTAGAATTATTCATTTGCAATATGTACTGATCATTATTAAAATTGGCATACTGCACATAAGAAATATAAAAATGCTGATATCTGATGGAAGATCAGGATACTTTACATGAACTAGACATACATAACACTCTTCTTTCGAACATGTTCATAGTAAAATTATTCATCTGCAATGTGTACCCATAATTATTAAAATTGGCATAATGTAGAGTACTCTGAAGAGCAGGATACTCCAATTACATGGATTAGATATACATAACACTCACATTTACACATGCATCTACACGAAGAATATATAAACACATATAAACAGTTCACCTTAAATAGTCTAATCTGTTCTGTTCACTTTAGGTAAGTAAACTAAATTAAAACCAACGATTAAATGTATTACAAGAGCACAAAATTGTGTTATCCTATTTCATGCAAGTTTACCAGAAACAGATTTGCAATTTAATATTTTAAACCAAACTATAAAATGCAAAATATATTCTAATTTCTAAAATATCAATAGTATGATAGTATAATATGTAAAGGAGAAATAAATTATAAATTTATTCAGGAAGAAAAGATAATATTTTAATACCATGAATACGAATTTAAAGATGAAACTAAAACATTTTCCAGTTTTCAAAATTTTCTATGAACCTAAGAAAAAATTGAATCAGAAGCATTGGAAATTCTTTTGCTATAAAGATATAACAATTCACAGCTTCCCTTACATTTTCCTAAACTCAATGATACTATTCATGCCAAAATAAAAAAGAAAATCACGTGTATTTCAATATGTCACGTGTACTTACTTCTAATCTAGTTATTCGTTACCTAAGCTTCAAGATACCTCGTGCAAAGGGTTAAAGATCCAAACTGCAAGCTCTCAACGATACACCCCATTACAAACTTCCAGAAGCTCAGTGATACTATTTATGCCAAATAGTAGAAGAAAATCTATGTATTTCAATATTTCACGTGCACTCACTTCTAATCTAGTTATTCCGTCGTGTTCGTTACCTAAGCTTCAAGGTACCTCGCGCACAGGGGTTGAAGATCCTACCTGCAGACTCTCAACGATACACCCCGTTACCAACTCCCAGGGACCGAAGAAACGCGTAATAATTCTTCTCCGCGCAAAGTGCCAAAAGGTAGAATTCTAAAACAGTGGAAAATTAAGCGTCGCGGCATTACCACGCGGGTAGCAAGCGCGCAAGGGCGTGCACGGTGATCCCCGAATTTCGGGGTGACGCTATAAATCACAAAGCGATGCTGCAGCACAATGAGCCGCATCTTTCGCGGATAGTTGGAGAACATTTAAAATCGCATAACGCGTCCACGCGCGTTGCCTGCGAATCGGGTGGCAGGAAGAATTAAGGGAGGTAGGAGTGATACGTGGCGGTGGCACGAGCCGACACGTGGCAGTGCCGCTTTATACAAACAGCATTATGCACGCTCGTGCTAACATAAATTACTGTGGGTTTAATATCGGACGTCGACGTTGGCCATGGCCGACCACCTCCTGAGCAAAACACGTTAAATGCGGCCAATCGGGCACACTCTGTCACGAAACAGGCTTTCTTCGATTCCTCCTGATCGCAGGTGTACCCCTACGTGTTCACTCTTCGTCGAGTTTCTCTCCTTCGTTGCGTATCGGACCTTAGGATTACAGGGAATTCTTTAATTTTTATTTTGAGGTACTTTTTGAACTTATTTGAGAGATAGCTCTTTTCTTTTGCTAGAAAAAGAAAGGAAAAACAGGAGAAAAGAAAAATTTGGGAAGTTCGAAAAATAATTTATTTTTTTTTTGTCAGTGAGAAGTTTGGAAAGTAGTTTATTTGTTATATTAACCTCTTAGGTATGGCAGAATTTTTCGCGGAGTTGTTTCTCTGTACAGCAGAGTTCAACGCGAAATGATACAGTACTGAGTACCTGACACTGACGCATCAAAAACAAAGATTGTATACTTTATCTGTATATAAAACGTTATAAAACTGTTATAAAACGTTGCGAAGGCAAAGAAAGTGTGAAACAAAACACACGAAAAGGATCATTTAATTCAAACAGTGAGCAATTGAGCCATTAGAATGAGTCACTATAGTGGTGCGTAGTTTAGAAAGATGACACTCGCGAAAGCCACTACAGTAGTTGCATCGTGCCTAAGATGTTAATGAGAAGTTTGAGAAATAGTTTACTTTCTATATCAATAAGAAGTTTGAGGAATAATTTATTTTCGATGTTAATAAGAAATTTGCGAGAGAATTTATTTTTTGATATTTTATTTAGAATAATAAATTTAATATTACAACTATAATTTTAGAATACACCTACAAATTTATTATTTTAAATTATTATTTAGAATAATAAATTTCCACATTTTATAGAGAAAATAAATTAGCGAATTTAATGATTCATTAAAAAGTTGGCATGGTTCATGCTCATGGGGAACATAAGAATTTAAGAAGAATCGAAAGTAAGTAGCTGCACGGTGCGCGGTATAAACAGCTGACTGCACGGATGCAAACGAAGACAGAAAGGCGGTCGTATATGAATGGCAGCATTCGGGGAAAATCTCGGTTAAATTTCACAATAAGCTCTTTCATGACTCCTAAACGTGAAAGCGCTTGTAAGCGACTTTGGGGAGCCTTACTAGACGCCCTTGGAAAGCAGCCTGAGCAACTGTAAAGGCGAGAATGAACGAAAGAGGGAACGAAACGGCCTCGATAAGTGGACACCCCGCGGAGAATGACGGAATGCAGACCGCCTGCATGAATTAAAGCCGCCGGTTTATGAATGGATCTGGATCAGAATCGAAATTCTTCGGAGGAAACGTAGGGGTGGCTGAGCTGCTCGCTGCCAGCCGCGTTCTGATTTTGATCTCTCGGGATAGGGAATCGAAACCGGATGTTAATCCTCGAGTGCGAGACGAAGGGATGAGTTGAAAGAGAGGAGGTGAAACGGATTCGAGGATACTTAAATGTCTGCGTCGGGATTCCACGATGCAACAAAGAGCAGCGTTCAGAAATTTAAGTCGGTCATTAGGTATCCTTGCGATACGCTGAACCCTTTGTGAACGAGAAACGAAGATAACGATACAAGGAGTATATAATGAATCAATTAAAAATAACAAATCGAGAGAAATTTTCCGAATTAAAATATATATAGAACATTGATGAGAATGCAAAAATTATTTTTCGCTAAAATATACAAAAATTTTGTGGGGCACTGTATAATAAGAGATATTAAATTTCATGAGAGAACGAATTTTTATTGCTTCGAATTTTTCTTATTTCTAGCAGCTTTTATAAAATATTTCAGAAATACAAAAAATTTGCGAGGCACTGTGCGATAAAAAATCTTAAATTTCACGAGAAACTAATATTGTGGATATATGCACATAGGATAAAATTTTATTGCTTCGAATTTTTCTTATTTCTAGCAATTTTTATAAAATGTTTTAGAAAATACAAAAATTTTGTGAAGCACTGTGTAATAAGAGATATTAAATTTCACCAGAGTAGAAATATTGCAGATATATGTACATGACATCAATTTTATTGCTTTGAATCTTTCTTATTTCTAGCAATTTTTATAAATATTTAAAAAAATAGAAAAATTCTGACGTATATTATGGCATTCATCATCAAATGAATCTATTTATAATAATATTAGAAAATAAAGATTAAAAAATTCGAAAATTTTTCCTATATCTTTGCATTGAAGTTATAGAATATGTTTTCAAAGACTCGTGTCAAAAAATTGCGTCATTTTTCATACAATCGCGCAAATTTCACGTCGATCGCTCAAAATTTGTTTGCGCCGTGTACTTTAAAGCGTAGCAGCCTTATTATGTCGCGTAACATATAATTACTAAAACGCTATTTTATGTGGTGTACAGTTTACTACAAACTTAGGGACGTCCGCAGGTACAGGTCCTCTTAAAATGGCGGAAGTGACTTATATTCGAAATCCCTACCCCCTGCCGGATATAGTTCGCGAAGGAGTGTGGATACAACGACCTGTACTAGGTAATAAAGTTTCACCGAAGGATAAAGACTGGAGTGCCAAGTTAAAAGCTCATGAACGTCTCTTTGCGCATCATACGCTAAATAGTATCCGGAAAGATAATAGGCTTAAGAGATCGCAGGTAAAAGTACACGCGTTAACCTAACATTTTCAGTGTTATTTATACGTTCTACTATTTAACATAAATCTTTTCTTATAGTATATACTACAACCATATTTACATAATAAATATAGTATAGTATATTCTAAAGAATTATATAGCATAACTATTCATAATTCTAATTATAGATATTAATAATTAACTATTTCAAATTCAATTATTAATTATAGTTACATTTTATAGGAATAATTCTTATCCCATTTACTATATATTTGATAATAGCAAAAAAGAAATATAACTATGATTTACAAATTACACAATTACAATTTTAATTGAATATTATGAACTTTCTAGGTCCCAAATGATGCCCTGGATCTGGCACTTACAACAGTATATATTCACAGCAAAGACACATTGGTGCCCAAGTCCTACGTCCCTGTACAGCCAGAAACATTAGGAAAGAAAACCTGGAGAGTTTTAAAAAATCAAATCGCGGTAAAGTAAATCAATTAATTAATTAATTATCAATTTACTACTGCATCTTTCCCCAGGAATAAAATTCCTATCATTATTCGCATACTATTTTAAATAATAATTTAATAAATTAATAATTGTTTCGTCCGGACCTTTCTTAAAAGAAAAGAAGTCAGACGAGGTTAACGTCGTTTTACAAACATAAACTAGTTATTCGAGACTATAAAAGTTTATTTCGATACGATACAAGAGTGAAAAATAGTTTAGTTATTGCAAAAATTCTTTAATTTGAAATACTATAAGTACGAATCAGTGTCCTTAATATTAAATATAATAACGCGTTAATTACAACAATACCACCCCTGAGGTAAAAATTTATAGCTCAATATGTAACGAAACATTTATTATTTTATTCAAGATGACTATTATTTTGTGCTAAAAATATAGAAAATATACTATTCAGCCAATTTAATATCTCTAAATAAACAATTTTAGTAAGAAATTTATCATTTAAAATAGTACTTGAAATATTTTCTCTGCAAGTTTCGCTCGGTTCAGTGCTCCTAATACTTACAGACGGTTCAGACATATTCAGACATATATTTCTTGCCTAAAATTAATTAAGGTCGAGAAGGAACCGGAAGTTCCGGAGGACGCGCAAGACCCGGTGACGCTGTTCCTGAAGAAATCGGAGTGTCATCGTGGCCCGGTGCCAGAGAGACGAATCCACCCGAGTAGCGTGAAATTAAATATCAGCGGACCTCACTCGGTTCAATCTAATCCCGGATACAGTCGCAAAATCGACGGAACTTTTTACAGTATTTAAACAGTATTTAAACACGGATCTGCACGGTGTTTGAGATGAAAACCTGGCAAGCAAAGCTGTGCTAACAATCGTATTTGAGGAAATTAAATCAACGATTTTACGATTATCATCGGCACCGTCAATCGGACCTCTATATGTTTATGAATACGTTTCATTTTCGCGCAATTCGCCCGATAAATCTACACATTTACGTTCAATTAGCGCACAGTTTCGATTGCTTCGTCGTTTTAAATATTTTCCCAACGATACTTAAATCCGAAAGCAGCAGAGAGTGATCATGATACCCGAGATAGTGGCGTGTCTTTATTTTTGTATGAATGTGCATGCTTGAGACAATCACTTTGTGTACGTGTATATCGTATATCGCGAGGCACTGTGTAATAAAAGATATTAAATTTCACGAAAGAACGAATATTGCGCGATAAAATTTTATTGCTTCGAATTTTTCTTATTTCTAGCAATTTTTATAAAATATTTTCCGCTACAGGAAATGAAATTTTGATAATGTTTGAATATGATGTATATTTAAAGTAAAGTATGTATCGAGAGTAGCAGATATAGGTGCTTTAGATGAAATTAAGTAATCAATTGTACTGCTATCTATTTTTTAACGTGAAATAAAAATAAAAATATAGGATTTCATTGCAAAAGCAAGAAATTTTTTATCTGTATTACGTGTGTCTTTAATATGTTTATTACATACCCTAGTTTTCAATCCTAGTTTTGTTTAAATTAAAAATCCCAAAATTAAAAGTAGAAACTTTAAAACCCATGCATGAAATTTTGCAATGGAAAGTAGACTATATGAAAAGTAATTTTTACTCCTACTTATTGCTAATTTATGAAATAAATAATACAATAGAGTGCTAGATTATATAGAATATTAACTTTAAAATAGTATCATAAAACGATAGAATCATAATTATTTATCTGCTATTCAGAATTAATGATTCTTATATTATGCTGAACACTTTTTCGCATTTTTAATTTATACAAACAATAAAAATAACCATTAATATTTACATAGTAGTCACTTAGATCCAAGTAAAAATTTGTGTTATCCATTACTGACAGTGAAGAGACAACAAATTGTGAGTATTGGTTTTATGAGAGTGTGAATGTTAGTTTTATATGTGGGAATGGAATCTAGTACGAATGTTGATAAAAGATGTTTAAAAGAATATGCCAGAATGAAACAGTTACTTGAGAATCGCCATAGAATAAACATTAGTTAATAAGAATGAGAGAGAAAAAAAAGAATTTTCAAGATAGAGTCAATCTTTGTGTTTAAAAATAATTTATTTAGAATTGTTATCAATATTTAAATATTATTATCTAAACATATTAATTTGTCAATTGTTAAAAAACGTGGAAGGTATTGGTATTCATTTCCATCCACAAAAATAATTCACGAATAACATAATACAATTTAACACAAATATTAAAAGATAAAATTTAGTCTCACTGTCAAAATGGTCGTAAAAGTTAAAGACATTGTGTTCATTCGATGAGATAAAGTTGCAAGAAAGCACGAAAAATACTGCCAGCCTCTAAACAAGCAGCGCAATAAATACCCTTGCTTAACCACCCCGAAAACCGATCATATCTATTTCGAACATGTCAGCAAATTTGTTCAGTAGATATCTCGACCTCGTAACTCGTCTCTCCGAAATCTTGGCAGCGATCTGCCGCGTGCATTCGCCCCTTGAGCCATCGCTGTGACAAGAACCGAAAGCGTGAGTCAGTGCACGGCCGCGTTCTCACTGTGGAGCAGCCGAAGGGACAGAATGTCCCATTACCCGGGTAATCCTTGTTTGTAATAAACCAGCACCCTGCTGCCAAGGGGGTGGCGGCCACCCTCGCCGCATAACGTCGCGGAGGTGGAGTCATCTCCGCACGCATATGCTGCTCATGGAATATCATTTATGTTTCGCCCTGTGCAGACGTCTATCTTGGTGTCCCTGCTTCTCCGTTTGACCTGTTCAACCCCTCTGCAACCCTCTTCCAGCACTCTGTCCTTATACATACGCCTAATCCGGCCATGATTGTCGCGGCGACCGCCTCGTCACGAAGACTCCTCCTCGCTCACCCTTTTTTCCTCTTTTTCCAACCACTACCACTCCGAACCCGGTTATCTTTTTAACGACATTGGAAGGTGAATCGAAGGGAACCGAGATTATTGTTTCGCTAGTACTGAGAGAGATCCTCCACGGGGTTTCGGTGGTAGGTACTGTTGGAATGGGTAAAATGTGAGGTCCTAGGATGGGGTTTTAGCGTGATGGAAATTTAAGATCGATGCGCGTGAGGTTGTTAAAGGAGAGGTTTTGTAATTGTTTGAAGATTGCTGGATCGATGGAATTGATCGATGTGGAGGGAACAGGGGGGAGGTGGTTGGAACATTCGTAGAGCGGTAGGGGTTGAATAGCGAGGTGGTTTGTAATTCTTTCAGTTGTTATTAAATACCCTTTAATGTTAGTTTGCATAAAAGGTACACACTGCTAATAACTCCATAATGGGTTGCATAGCGTAAATAAAAAAAAAAAAGAAGAAAAACAGAAGTTATAATTATTAAATTTCTCTGTACAATTTATATTTACAAATGATTCAAGTTATTGAAAATTTAAACTAACATTATTCTATTATATTTTATACAAATTTCGTGGAATACGTAAAATAATTTAAAAAACTCATAACAGATTACTGTTTTCTGTTCTTTGCTTCTTTGAGTGATTAATTATTCTATGAATATTTTTACTGCTATTATATTACTATACCAATACCAAAAAGAAAATACAATACCATCTTCAACTTAAGATATAAAAAATATAACCTATTCGAATATTGAATATGATTTAACATAAGTAAAATTATATAAATTCTAAAATTTTGTACAACTTCGTCATGAAGTATACATGTATTACATATACCGAACAATTAAAATTAATCGCTTCTTCAGTGTCTAAATTTTTGGAATTAAATCACAATGCAGGAGTTCACTCGATACTATTTCGAACACCGATAAATCCATTCGCTTCCATTGCTGTACTATCAAGTTTGCATGACATGTACAAATGTCCCCGCGTAACAAATAAAACCTCGCGAAACCTTACAAATGTGGGAAAAAAAATTTATAAATAGCCTTACTTTCTTCCCGAATAAGCGTTTCTTGTGCCGTTAAGTAAACACTATTCGTTCACGACGAATCAAATAATTCCCCCCGTAGATTACATCACGTCGAATGCCTATCGACGTGGATCCTTTTTCTTTGCCGGTTAGGGGCGCGCAGAAAGTGGCAAGAATAAGGGTGGAGCGATCCGAGTCCGTGGTGGGTAACGAGCGGGGTAACCAGCCAATTACTTGGCTGAGCGGTTTTATTTGTATTTAATTCTTATTTAATTTACTTTTTACGGCCGCCTTCGCCGGGGTTCCGTTAACCGAATGGAAGATTTCTACGCCATTGCAAATTCACGGAATCGTAGCATGGCGCATCGAACGTAATTAATTCAAACGAAAGCGATGAAACGTCTCCTCCAGTCACCGTTCTGCAATCGTTGAATGTAATTATCAGTTTAACAAATATCTTGGAAACGATCGATAAGGTATCTGTAGGAATTTTAAAGCACGCTGAAGTCTTTGTGAAAATTCGATAACTCTCGTCGAATTTTTCCATCAACAATGGATTAACTCCATACACGTACAACCTTCTTTATAAAAATGATTTAAAGAAGCTACAATTAATTTCTGAATTTTTATTTTTAATGAGAAAAATAAGAAGAGAAATTAGATTTAATCACGGTCTTTCTTTTTTCATCTGAAAACTAGTAATCGGTAATCGTGGTAAATAGATTGGCTAGTACCGGTACGATAATATGGCGATAATGAGGTACAGTAGTACAGTGATAAGCGAATGAAAAGGATTAAAGAAAATGTAGATACGCGAATGACTTTGAGGCCGCGTGCTTTCGTAAATGGTTAACCGTGAGATTCGCAGGTCGCAATTATTGGACATGCTCGAGGAAGAAATGGTAAAGGAAAGAATGATCGATTTGCTATCTTCCCAATTCCTGCGCGCATACGTTTACTCGGAAGGAAATTCCGCGTAAAAGTCGCAGCAAAGTCTCATTGATCCCTCCGGGATGAAGTTGTTATTCCAGTGAACTTGTTACGTTATATTTATCAGCACGGTGCACACTGCCACCACCCGTCGAGCTTTATCGTTCCTTTCGGTCCCATTTTTGCTCCCTCGACTTTATTCACCTACGTACTGTCAAGACAAAGCCGCAAACGACGTTATAAAGGACAGCCAGAAATAGGCTGTATTAAACGAATGATGCGAGTGATTTTTCTTGACGTTTAGCATTCCAGAAACGGGCTACAAGGGCAAAAGTAATGGATCGCTGTTTATAAATATAAATCTCTGAGATTCGTCGATAATTTAGCAAGATTACAAGATAATTCTTACAATTTTATTTTTATGCTACAATAAATTTTATATTATAGAATTATTTCGTAGAAATTAATATATCGGTTATTATTATATTTTAATTTTATAAAAATAGGAATTTTGTATATTACGATTACAATGATGTTTTCCATGATTCGTGCAAGATTCATGGATAATTTAGATCTTCTTAACACTAAACGTATCAAATGATCCTTTTCAAAATTTATCTTATAATCGTGCATTTATTCTTATTTCTTTCGCTCATTTGATTTTCTGCAAATTCTTATATAATCTGATTTATAAATTAATTTCGCTTTCTCGAATTACGAAATTTCTTTTATTATTTCTTTCACCCGATATGATACTTTATAAAAGTATTTTATAGAAATTGCAAGCATGTTTGATAGTATATTAAATTTATAGAGACAGGAATTCTGTGTATGATATGAATTATAATTTTATTTACGATCCGTGGAAGTAAATTGTAAAAATTTAATTGAATTTGGTCCTTTCTGTTTGTAAGAACAAATACAAAAGGAGTTCGAAAGGTACGTGC